CTTTTTTTTTTCCCCTATTTCTCTCTACCTTTGCAATGTCCAAAAAATCCTTTCCCACAAGAAAGGAAATAAAAAATAGAGCAAAAGAAAGCCAAAGAAAAAAAAAAATAAAATAAACTCACACAGAACAACCCAGGCACCACACCACTTAAAGGGCCCTGCATAGCACAAGGACTAGCTAACACAGAAAGACACTGAAACATTCCTTGGCTTAACAGCTGACCACTGACTCACACTAACCAGAACAGAGCAGAAATAAAACTGCACAAACACCTGGCTCTCAGATTGCAACTTCTGTGAGTTCCCTTTTAAAAGATGCAGTCAAAGTTGCACTAGCAACTTTAAGACTAAACTCCGAAAAACCAAATCATCAGCAGCAACGCGCACTAGGTTCCAACCTAGAAACTGCTTTTATTAGGTAGCTGGATACTCAAAGTTGGTTTTGGTAAATACAATTCTCACTACGATCTCCTGATGGATGAACTTCAAGTGCTCCTGTTCTTAAAATCAGCCTTGTAAATAAAAATACGTGACAACATGAGAAAAAAAAAATCTAGTAGGAGATCAGTGGCTAAAGAATGTGCTGCAGGCTTTCATATATACACCCACAACCACGCACATACAAAGGAAGTAGGCCCATATTTTGAGATCCCTTTACAGCAAAAGCAATAAACTTTCTCTCTGCAATCATTTAAAATTAACTTTTAATTTAAAAGTAGCCATTCTTTAATTGGAACTCCTACCATATAACTCATTAACAATCAGTAGCATTAATCCAGAACTTTTTTTTTTTTGGAGAGGGGAGGACCAAACACTTAAAATTAACTTACCTACAAGATTATCATTTGAATAATCCTCAACTTCAATAGCCATTTCTGTAAATTACACAAAGTAAACAATCATTTACAACTGAAGAGTTATTAAAATATTTACAAAATTTCTATTTTTATTTATGTTGAAACTGATGACTTAGTAAGACTGGCCTCTAATATTCCTTTTGCAGAACAGAGATACAAATACTCTTATCGACATTTCCTCCAATAAAAACTCTAATATTAAAGTAGGACAAAGAATAATTTGCAGGACTACATATTGTTCCAATAAAAAAGAATGGGAAATCTGAAATTGTACCATCACAAATCTCATCTTCCACAGTTTTGTACACCACTGAGAATGGAATTTAAAAAAGTGCCTATTCACAGTGTTTTATCTTTAACTACACAATATTCTGACTTCTAAATTCAGTTCTATTTAATCCAGGTTGTGTATTTAAGTTAGTAACCAGCAAAGCTTTTAAACTAATGATTTCCGTGAAACTAATGATGGCTACTGTGATTTAAATGCCTCTTAGCTCCCACACCCTCAAGAAAAACAAAACAAAACAAAACAAAGCAAACCAAAATAAAGTCTTATTTTCTCACAGTCTTATATACTGATAAAAGAAGGAAGATACTGCTATCAAAAAGTAGTAAATTCACGAAAATAGGACTATACAAACCTGATTCTTCAGGCTCACTCGCCACTTTCTCTTCAAGAGGTTTGCTTTCTACTGTTACAGAGAAAATTAAACATGAAAGTTATATGGCACCACCACAATTTTTTTCTTTTTATCTCTCTCCTGCTGCCACCACTCCCCTGCTCAAATCAGCATCAAACAGCAAAAAAGAGTTAAGAAAAAGCAAATATGATAATCTAAAAGTAAAAAAAAACAACAACAACAAAAAAAAACCATTCACCGGACAGGTATTATGTCCAATAGGTTAGCCCTTCTTAATTATTGACTTTAATTCCTGTTACTTGGGAAGTGATTTTGGTTATTATTTGTTATTTCTGGGAAACACTAATGATCACTCTCCCAATTTCTTACATTACAGCACACTTTTCAGATGGAAAAAAAACATGAAATACCATCAAATTCAACCACCACTGCTCAGACAAAA